CGAGGGGGGCGTGAGGGGCTCGGAGTGGGAATATCACATAGATCCAGATTCCAGACCTAATGTGGGGGGCTGCACCCCGGCAGAGGAGCCAGCCAGCCAGCCTCCCCTGGCTGGGTCAGCGCCTCCGGGTGGCGAGTGTGAGCAGATGGGGCCAGCCCGCTGGGACCCCTGAGCAGGAACACTCAGGGCCCGCTTCTCACTGTTTCCATAACCAGGACCCGGGTCTGCCCACGTCTCATGCCCCCCCATGGCATCAAAGCTTGTGGGTGCCAGGACGGCCAGCAGATGGGGCCAGCCCGCTGGGACCCCTGAGCAGGAACACTCAGGGCCCGCTTCTCACTGTTTCCATAACCAGGACCCGGGTCTGCCCACGTCTCATGCCCCCCCATGGCATCAAAGCTTGTGGGTGCCAGGACGGCCGGGAATCCAACCTGCAGGGATCAGCCCGGGCACCGCCCGCCCACTGGCCCCGAGTGGGACTCGTCTTCCCAGATCAATGGGGGCTGGGGGCAAAGCAGAACCACATGGGGAGCTGGCTCAGAGCCCCTGCTAATCCCTCGCTGGGAGGCAGATGCTGCGCTGCTGGAAGGGCTGGGCCTGGCTCCTCGCATGCTGAGGGTTGAATCGGGCGGGGGGGAACCCACCCAGCCCCGGACACTGCGGATGGAGCCTGCGGGGCAGGGGGCAGGAGGCGGGGGGCTGGTCTCTCTTTGCTGCTGCAGGTTGCTCTGCTGCCCCCTGGGGCTGACGGGGAAGTTGACAGCCGTACAGCTCCTTGCGCTGTGCCTGGCATGGGGGGGGGTTTCCCTCCTTCTCTGCCCCAACCTACTGCAGCGCGGGGCTCTTCCCCCCACCTCCCGCTGACCTCTGCAGCCAGGCACCTCCCTCTCTGCTGGTTGCCCCCACGCCCCCCTCCCACGCCGCCCGCCCCATGCCTAGAGCTAACACTGCTCCTGCAGCAGAGGGAGGCCTCCGCTGAGCTATCGGGGCCTGGATCCCAGGCCAAGGGGCCCACAAGCGGCAGCAGCTGATTCTCTGCCCTTAGCCCTTGCTGGTCTCCCCTGGAGCCTGTCTGCAGCAGGGAGCCATCCCAAAAGCCTCGCTTCCCAGCTGAGTGGCACTGTGGGGGGGACTGATGCAGCCAGCCCGTCTGGCTGCACGGGGGGGAGGGGGCGCTACGAGTCAGACCATTTCCCTGGGAAGCCTTCCCTCCCTGCCCAGGCATCCCAAAGTGCGTCACTGCCTCATGACAAGGCACTGACACTCCCCCACCCCATCTTCCTGCTGGAGAAACTGAGGCACGGAGCAAGATAGGGACCTGACGCTCATCATACCATGAATCCAGGCCCTCTGTGCTAACCGACTTGGCCCCACTCCTCTAAGAGTCCCAGATGCCCACCCCTGCTCCAACCACTAGCCCCCACTTCCCTTCACACTACCCAGGTATGCTACAGACAGGGATGCTCCCTGCCCCAGAGAGGCTGCCTGGGCCCGTGATCTGGCCTCTCCCCCTCCTACTGACTGGTGCTTCAAAGGCCTCGCTGGCTGGAGCAGCCTGCACCAGGGACTCAGCTGAGAGTCACATGCAAGGGCTCGGGGAGGATTTAGAGGCCCATGTGATGGGTTTTGCCTGGAGCCCCCGAGTCACATGCTCCCCATGCACCAGCTGGGGCTCTGGGCCATGGGAGAGACAGGGCCAGGCTGACTATGGAGCCCCATGGAGCAGGGTCTGGAGCAGCCGGGGGGCAGGTTGGCTGGAATTGCCTGGGCTGTGGAGAGTCACATGCAAGGGCTCGGGGAGGATTTAGAGGCCCATGTGATGGGTTTTGCCTGGAGCCCCCGAGTCACATGCTCCCCATGCACCAGCTGGGGCTCTGGGCCATGGGAGAGACAGGGCCAGGCTGACTATGGAGCCCCATGGAGCAGGGTCTGGAGCAGCCGGGGGGCAGGTTGGCTGGAATTGCCTGGGCTGTGCTCTATCCTCCTTAGAGGGCAATAATCCCCCCCCCCCCCCCCCCCACCAC